AGATCCCCTTTTATTTGAACAAACATTGACATGTGCTCTTTCATAATGTTGGTGAAATTCTTATTGAAATTTACTTATCTTAAGACAAGTTAGGGTCATATATACTAGGGTCTAGGGCTCCTTCCATACGAGTCACTGACATTAAGATTTTTGATCTTTTGCTATAAACAATAATAAGAGACATAAATGACCACTTGGGCTGGTAAATTTTGACCAAATGGCAACATTTTAATCGACAAACTTCGAATGTTAGAAATTCTAAAAACACTTAATCATGCTTTATTAGGATTTTTTAATTTGTAACTACATGTATTGGGTCATACCTACAATTGGTTGTTGTTGTTGCACCAACAACACAGTAGAGACCATATTGCGACTTTTCAGGTTTACTGGTAGAGGTAGACCTCAGGTGCCCTGCAGGCTTAAGAAAGGACCTGATTAGAACCACCAACGTTCCGTAAGCTTCCTGGATAGTTTCCTCACATGAAAGAATTGGATGGTTGGATTCAAAACAACAGAGTTGAGGGGCAAATAGTTTGAAGTTAACGTTGCAAAGAACCTCTTACTGATGCTACATGCCAAATACAGAACTGCGGGCCTAAAATACTCTTTAATGGAAAAGATTTCACAAACATGCTATTTAGCATATTTTGGACCTTTTAGGGGCCACAACAATGCATGATGGAAAGAAAGAAACCACCATGATCTAAAGGTGACAACTACAGACACTATGTCAACTAAATTGTAGTTAGAAAAAAATTCAAACAATATCCTCGAGTTGATTCAAGCCCACATCTATAAAGGACAAGACAGGTACCTCAAGTCCTTAGACCCTTTACCCACTCATCTATGGGAGCTCACAGTGACATTAAGGTTTTGTTCCTTGTATTATTTCAATTCCAAGAGAAAACAGAAGGAAAATGAAAACTCAACAAATTTTATTGAGGATAATTGAAATGTGTTAAAAGCTGCATGCCTCCAGATGAGCAAGAATATTCAAAGAAAAATAAACTTGAGAAATATGTACTGAGATTGTAAGAAAAATGAAAATAAATTTAGATTCAAGTAATAATTTACATGTAATGTGCGATTAATGACTGATTTTGCAACAATTATCATCATATCTCTACTGTGTTATTAATGCAGTAAAGACTATTTTTGCATATTTTGACCTTTTTGCAATTTACATGGATAACAAGTGCTATTTGCAATGTGTAAATTATTTTCATTATATATGTATTGCAGATAAATCAATGAAGAATAGATCATTGGTCTGTAGCCATTTAATAAGCATTACCAATCTTTTTACTTATAATAGTAACCCAAAATTTTAAGAAATGGTATTTTCATTTATTTCAGCACTTTCACAAACATGTATAAATTAAACGTTAAGTGTATTTGATCATAATAAAAGACCAAAGGAATAGAGTTACTATATAAAACAATATAGTAATAGGTGATACTTGGCTTCAGCACATTTCACATATAAAATATAAGAGCACAATACACACGCAAAACAAGAGCTGTTGGTAGGACAGCGTGCCCAATTATTCCTTGTGCTTGATAGTTAATCATGAGCCAGGCTAAATGTAGAATTCTAATTTTTTTTAACTTTAAAAGATCCATGTTAGAATTATGGGCCTTGGACAGTGACCTCCTAATATGCTATACAGTTGTGTGCAGTTTAAATCCCTTACCTTTAGTACTTATGTACACACTATATACTAATTTGCACACCAAAACTTAACCAAAGTGCGACACCCATACCTGGGTCAGTACAATAGCTGTCCTTATTCTCCGAACAGTAAAGCTAATGATGTTGATTATACAGTTTATACAAATACATTTATGTTATTTGATTCAGGGATTTATTGAATATCAACACATATGAAAATATATTACATGATCAACTACACTGTAGTAAGAAATAATAAAGCATAAAACAAGAGGGCTATGATGGCCCTAGGTCGCTCACCAGAAACAACTGCTTTTCAGTGTTGGAAATTATCCATTGTCAATATTTTCTAATAGTAAATTTGAGCATAGAATATCTTTAAACAATAATTTGAAGAAATGCCATGACCTGGGGCATAAAGCTTTAGCTTAAATAGGGCCAATCAAATTAATATGAGCAAACTTGATAAAAGACTACCTAAGAATGCTACAGACAAAGTTTGGTGATAATCTATCAATTATTTCAGTAGGAAATGATGTTCGAAGGTTTTTCTATTTTAAGCTTTAGTAGCCCTTAAAAGGGTCCAATTGAATTAATATGAGCAAACATGATAAAAGACTACCTAAAAATGCTACAGACAAAATTTGATGATCATCTATGAATTAGTTCTGTAGAAGCAGACGTTTAAAGGTATTTCTATTTTTAGCTTTAGCGATCCCTAAAAGGTGCCAATCAAATAATACGAGCAAACTTGATAAAAGACTACCTAAGAATGCTACAAAGTTTGGTGATCATCAATCAATTATTTCTGTAGGAAATGATATGATAGGTTTGTTTCTATTTTTAGCTTAAGCTACACCTAAAAGGGGCTTATCAAATTAATATGAGCAAACTTGATAGAAGACTACCTAAGAATGCTACAGACAAAATTTGGTGATCATCCATCAAAAGGAGATGTTTAAATGTCTTTCTATTTTTAACTTTATCAGCCCTTAAAAGGGACCAATCAAATTAATATGAGCACACTTGATAAAAGACTACATAAGAATGCTACAGACAAAGTTTGGTGATCATCCATCAATAAGTTCTGTAGAAGCAGACGTTGAAAGGTATTTCTATTTTTAGCTTTAGCGGCCCCTAAAAGGGGCCCAATCAAATTAATATGAGCAAACTTGATAAAAGACAACCCAAAATTGCTACAAAGTTTGGTGATCATCCATTCATTAGTTCTGTAGAAGAAGTTGTCTAAAGGTTTTTCTATCTTTAGCTCTAGAGACCCCTAAAAGGGGCCAATCAAATTAATATGAGCAGACTTGATAAAAGACTACCTAAGAATGCTACAATCGTGTCATCGTACCATCGCGTTTACACCATCGTACCATCGTGCATCGTCGGTAGGGAAGAAATAAAACAAGAGGGCCATGTTGGCCCTAAAGTCGCTCACCTGTTTATAGGCCCCCGTAGCGGGGCCAGTTTAAACCCCAGGGCTTTTATTTGAAAAAACTTGGTAGACACCCATTAGAAGATGTTTCATGCTAAACATCTAAGGTCTAGCTGGTCAAGGTTTTCCTTTACACTTATAGTTAAAAACAATGACACACCTGGGGCAGGGCCAGTTTTAACCCCAAGGGCTTTTTTTGAACAATCTTTGTAGACACTTACCAGAAAATATTTCATGCTTAATATCTGAACTCTAGTTATTCGGATTTTTTGAAGAAGATTTTTAAGTTTTTGCTATACATATATAAGGAAAATCAATGACCCCCAGGGTGGGGCCAATTTTGACTTACTAGAAGATGTTTCATGCTTAATATCTAAACTCTAGCTATTTGGGTTTATTCAAAGAAGATTTTTAAGTTTTTGCTATACACATATAAGGAAAATCAATGTCCCCTGGGGCGGGGCCAATTTTGACCCCAGGGCTTTTATTTGAACAAACTTTGTTGACACTCACTAGAAGATGCTTCGTGTTTAATATCTAAACACTAGCTATTTGAGTTTTTTCAAAAAAGATTTTTTAAGTTTTTGTTATACACATATAAGGAAAATGAATGACCCCGGGCGGGGCCAATTTTTGACCCCCAAGGCTTTTATTTGAACAAACTTGGTAGACACTCACTAGAAGATGTTTCATGCTTAGTATCTAAACTCTAGCTATTTGGGTTTTTTCAAAGAAGATTTTTTAAGTTTTTGTTAAACACACATATAAGGAAAATCAATGACCCCCCGGGGTGGGGCCAATTTTGACCACAGGGCTCTTATTTGAACAAACTTGGTAGACATCCATTAGAACATGTTTCATGCTAAATATCTTAGCTCTAGCTCTATGGGTTCTTTAAAAGAAGATTTTTTAAGTTATTACTATATGCATATAGGGAAAATCAATGACCCCCGGGGCGGGGCCAATTATGACCTCAGGGCTTTTATTTGAACAAACTTGGTAGACACCCATTAGAAGATGTTTCATGCTAAATTTCTTAGCTCTAGCTCTTTGGGTTCTTTAAAAGATTACCATTATATTATAACTTTCAAGTTTAAAACACAAATTATTCATATTAATTAACCTGAGTGCATTGATCCAAACCCAAATAAAAGCAATTTGCCCATACTGTTCTGGTTTTGTTTACAAAAAGACGATTACCTATATAGTGGCCATAAGAAAGGTACTCAATTCCTTTGACAAAGTCGCTGACTATGCTGTCTATCTAGTCATTACTTGTGATACAGCTCAACTTTAGTTTACTAACGTCTTTGATTTGTCCTCATCATCAAAAATATGACTTAACATGTTTTTTTTAGACAAATAATCGATCGTTTAGAGTAGAATACGGTGTACGAGTATGTCCATTATCGTGCTTGCTGTTAAATACGATTTCATTATATTTAATTCCAGAGCACGGAACAGAAAAATGAAGAGTCCGGTTCTTCAAATCTTTCTAGAAGATACTTAATGATGGGAGGTAATAAACTTGGATTATTATATCTAATTTTTTTCTGGTTCTTACGATGATTGATCCAAATTTCTTTTAATCTGTCAAAAAACCAGTTCTAGTGATCAAATTAACCTACAAGACATTGATAATAACTGATGCACAGACATGTATTATCTGTTTTACTATTGTCATGCTCTTACAAAATGTATTGGAGGACGTCCATTCACCGGTAAATTTCATCATAATCATGCACTCGCCCAATGTGTTGTCCATACACTTGAGTTCATTCCATATTTTATAATTCACAATAGCTCTTTTATGATAAATATTAATGCTTATCTTAAATCAATTTAGAACTATTTCATCTTTCATTGTGATTTTTATGCCTCTAGCTGGGTCCCCTGTTGGATTCATGGCATGTGTCAGTCCTGCAGATTTGCTAAACCTTGGCGATAAACACACCATCCTGTTCGACAAAATCATTACAAACACTGGTGGGGCATATCACAACCATACAGGCGTATTCATCGCCCCTGTGAAAGGCTTGTACGAGTTTCAGCTGTCCGCAATGTCGTCTGCCGGAAGCCATCTTTATCTGGCGTTCGTCAGGGATGGGACAGTAATTAGTCATATCTACCCTGACGCAGCCGGCTCATCTTCTTATGAAACAGCTGGCAATCAATGGGTTGTTGAACTGAACCAGGGATCTGAGGTGTGGATTCAAACTCAAACTGGGGGCACAATTCATGGAAATTGCTTCACTGTTTTTTCTGGCTTTTTGATATCAGAGATGGAATGATTTATACAAAATATTAACTGTATTAGATTTGCATCGCATGCTTTCTTGAATATTAATTAAAGTCTTAATATTTTTCTTTCTATTAAGTACATTTCTTAAATTTCGAAGAAGAAATTTGAATAGTCACTAACCCACAAATTAATTTACGATATGTAACAGTCATAATCCCAAAGCATAGTGTGATGTTAAAGGAACTCCACTAGGTCCAAAAGCCTAAAACATAACATTTGAATTTCTTTCACAGATCATCTGGGGCATTTAAAACATTAAGATAATTATGCGGAAGGTTATTACGACATAAATTAATTGAAAATCGTATGTTTGTGCTATTCTTAGCCCATTTTGAGGGAAAAGCGTTGCTTTTCAATTTTGGGTCATTTTTGACCATTAGAAAAAATATTCTGGTGAAACGGACCGAGTGATGGTCTGAAAGTTTGCACATAACTTATTGGTCTAGAACTACATCAAATGAAACATTTATCTCCAGTCGCGTCGATCATGTCAAAAACCTCAATGGAGTCCGAGTCCCTTTAACATTTTAAACAAACTCTCTTCTTTTTATGATATCAATGCATATAACAAATCATCAACTTAAATTAATGCAGTAACGAGTTAACTCCTATCAAATTTAACAGGAGTTCACCGTTACTGCACTCATGAACTTGCATTCATAAGTTTGAATGAATCAAAGTACGGAAAGCAAAACTTTGATGAATAATCGTTAAAGCCGGAAAACGGAAGAAAAAAACTCACCGGGAAAAAACTATCCCGGACAATTTGTCCACGTGCTTAATATCACAAGGTAATGATTATTTCACTGTTACATCTGTTCATTTATTGGCGGATGTTAATTAAATTTTCATATACCGCTGGGTTTAATCCAAGGAAATGTCTAGATACATTAATAAGCGGATGTTAATTCGATTTTAATAGTCCGCTGTGTTTAATGTCTATAGATATAGTAAAGCCAGCTGCGTTAAGGTTTCATTAGCTGGTTACCAAGTAGAGTAGCTATATTTGAGGTAGTGTTCCAGCTAAATTAGTACGTTATATCTATACTTAAAACAAATGATACTAATGTAATGAATTCGTATGAACAATAATATTTTTTTAGTAGAATAAAACCAGATCCAGATAAAAAAAAATAATTCTGGCTTCAAAACAAAATGTCGGAAGTCTATGCTGAAATTTAATGACTGCCCAACATATTCATCATTCAAAACTGTGTTTTAGTTTTAACAATTATAGTTTAATTTTGCTTGAGAAATCCCGTAACTTATGACGTCCAAAAACAAAAACAAAACAAAAAAAACAAAAAAAAAAAAAAAAAAAAACCCAAACAAATAAATAAAAAAATGAGAATGAGACAGGAAAATGGAACTGTTTGAATGAAAATATTTTTGATCAAAAGTTTTGCCAATGATTACGACTGAAATCGGTCAGAACGTAGGTTATTTCAGGCTGTTTATGTGATGTTTTTTTTTTTTAAATAAAATTTAGCCGCGTCACGACAAAACCAACATAATGGGTTTGCGACCGCGCAGTCTGATCAGGATCCATGCTGTTCGCTTACAAACCCTATTACAAGTAGAGAAACTGATAGCGAACAGCATTGATCCTGATCAACTATGTTGGTTTTGTCATGACACGACTCAAATGTTGATAATTACAAACACTATGTAAAAATTGATTAAGTTTTATTTCTGTTTAAATAATCAAATTGCTACTTTGCAACAAAACGATCTTCTTAATTAGGCTCGATCCAGAGTTTGTATTTCTTTGTCAATAGTGTTTTCTGAAATGAAAGAATACATTATTAATCCATATAACTATGAATTTGTGAAATTTACATATAGCTATAAATTTGTGAAATTAACCTGTATGACTATCGAATGAATTTGTGAAATTGACATATAACTATAAATTTGTGAACCTTACCTTCTTAACTATCGTATAAAATTTGTTAAATTTACCTATATAACTATAAATTTGTGAAACTGACATATAGCATTAAATTTGTGAAATTTACCTGTAAAACTATCGAATAAATTTGTGAAATTGACATATAATTATAAATTTGTGAACCTTACCTATATAACTATCGTATAAATTTGTGAAATTTACCTATATAACTATCGTACAAATTTGTGAAGTTTACATATAACTATAAATTTGTGAAACTGACATATAGCATTAAATTTGTGAAATTTACCTGTAAAACTATCGAATAAATTTGTGAAATTGACATATAACTATAAATTTGTGAAACTTACCTACATATCTATCGTATAATTTTTGTGAAATCTACATGTTACCATAAATTTTGGGAAATTTACATATAACCAATCAAACAAAAATAACACATGTATTTTAGATTTAAGCAGAACTCTACATTTTTTGGCTCTTAGCAACATCTCATTCAGGTTGAAAAAAAAAAAAAAAAAAAATAATTATATATTTATAAAAAAAAAAAAAAAAAAAAAAAAAAACAAAACAAAAAACAACAACAACAACAAACAAACATGTTCGACCGGTAGTCCTTGTTTGAACAATTAAAATATAAATTCTTTTTCGGGGAGGGACATAAAAATTTTATGAAAAAAAGTAAGAAAAAAATCCTTTCATTAATTTTAAAAATTTGTGGTCAATTTAACGACATTTTTTTTTGGAAATCAAGGGAAATTAAAAAAAAAAATGGTGAATTTTTTTAAATTTTCATTTTTTTGTTTTGGGGATCTATTTTAGAATTTTGTAATAAAATATAATTACAAAAACAGTTTTAATAATGAAGTACCAGTTTTATTTTTCTTGGTTTTCGAGGTTAACTCATTGATGTTATATTAAAAATTTAAAATTAAAAAAAAAATTTAAGCTTTCCGGGAAAAAATTATTAAAAGTCCTCATAAACCCCCCCTCGGACATTTGATCAGGGGTCTGATAGATTAAAAATTCTTCCAGTGCTTTAAAAAACAAAACAAAAAAACAACAACAACGTTAAAATGTTCCATCAGACGTTAAAACGTTCCATTAGTATTTCAAGTATTGATAAAAACAACAGAAATGTTACATTCGGATATTAATTTACAAATGCTGCAAAATTCTAATTAAGTGATTTAGAATGAGGATCTATTTATTTATCTGATGAATAATATTTTTTTAAAGTACACTATTATCTGCTATAAAAATATATGTAATATCAGATCATATAGCTCACACTTGGCAACAACTTCCATGAATAATTCTTTCGAAATTTGTTGTTATGTCTAATATCAAATACTATCAACGTAATTATACATTGCATTACAGACATTCCAGTATAGAGCAATTCACTTTAAAATGTTACACGATTGACCCAAATTGGATTTGAAGGCGTTTGTAGTTTCACACCCAAAGTGTCTCTGATTTACGTACCCAACCTCAAGTGTTAAACTCTTCTTGACTACCAATGGAATTGTATATAGCTGTCACCCTGAACTGTTTAGACAACGATTTCATTCAATTAAGAAGTAAGAATTCATCTTGAATGACACATAAACTTTGTCACAGGCTTACCTACGGATAGCATGACATCAAGCCAGCAGGTGACGCTGCGCTCAGATGCTTGTATGATGTCAAGATTACTTCACTAAATCGAATTTTCAAAATTATAAGTTTTGAAGGTCTGCGCCCTTCACTTTTTCTAATTAATAATTTTGACTAGGTACCATGACAGACATTAAGTATGATTTCAGTCTGGTAGAGAAATCATTTAGTTCAAAAACAATTTGAGTGCTAACTAACAGACCTGATTTTAAGATCAAAAGTTCTTCATGCTCGAATAGATTAAGATATTATTCTATAAGAGCATGAATAACTTTTGATCTGCTAATTACCTAACACTTAAATGAACAGTGCCGTTACTAACCGTCAAGTTGCGGTGATGTCCAACTCCTGTAACTTTCCCAAGATGGCTGTCTGTCATTTATAGGCTCAATTTTGCTTGGTTCTCGGAAACGCTGTAATTATTAAAGTTAACTCAAAACTCATTTCTCTAATATTTCATTCATGTATACAAAAAACTACATGTACGTGTTTTGCAAAAAAAGAAAGAAAGAAAAAAACCCAAAACACTACTTGGATTAAAATGAAAATTGTAATCCTTTTGATGAAACTTATTAATAAAAAATACATTTTTTTGGGGTTTGCAGCTATTTGATGTTCGAATGTTCTGTATGGGGTTAAAACTGATTTCATTCAATGATGTCACAAACGACGACAATACATGTATGTTAAAAGTGATTAAAATAAGAAATAAGTAATACGTCACAAACGAAGACAATATATTTCAATAGTGTTTAAAATTTGGAATAAATTGTGCTGTATAAATGTCACTATATCCTTACTCATACTGAAACAATGAGTCTGCTATGATACTATAGAACTTCTTTTCAAGAGTTGAACAAATAAATGAAACAGTTGTTAAAAGAACGACAAAAGAAATATCAATATTTTAGATCATGATTGCTAAAGTCTTAGGACACAGCTCTATGTTTTATATCAACTTCGGAACAGTTTTCACTAGAGAATTTATCATCACCCACCAAAACATGCAAACTCATTGTCAAATAAGTGTCATTGAATTTTGAAAACACTCACCACTCTAGAAAGGTGTCTTTTCCTTTTAAATTGTTTGACAGGCCTTCGAAATGTTGGTCGACATATGTTGAAACAACACAATGCGCATTTCATCTGCAGATACACGATAATTAATACAACATAAATTTATATATTACGTACCCATTGCGTTTTTTTAAAAATCAGATATGTTAATATTTTTTCTATAAAAAGAGCCTAATTAATTGAAACTACAAAATATTTATTTAATTACTCGACTAGCGTCCACAGCCATGTTATCTCATGTCAAAACTGTTGGCTAGTTTTCGAAAGTGGTTCAAATTATTGTGGTTTTTTTTTCTTCAAATAATCGAGATAAAATTAATGCAATGATTATAAATCGACAAAATTGTACAAAACTAATCAAACCTTGTTCTTTCTTGCATGGCTTTGTGTATCTTTGTGTTCTTCTACAAGTATC